TGCAACATTATCTCCATCGCTGCGGCTCTGTCTTTCTCTTCCCTCCCATTGTGGCTTCTCTTTCTCGGCATCACTCGTACTTCTGCTCTCAACATCTGCGGTTTCAAAGCCATAGTGTCTTGCCATCTGCTCGACCTCAGCTGGAGATAAGTATGGCAAATCTTGAGAAGCCTTGACGTATGAGATGTTTTCGACGAATCCCTTCGCAAAAATGATATCGATTTCCTCGAGAGATCTGCGCTTGGTTTCTGGGTAGAAGAAATAGATAATTGGGATGAAACAAGCGTTGACAACGGCGAAGAATAGGTATGTACCCCAAGAGATATTGGCAATCATGATAGGTGTAACCATAACAATGGTGAAGTTGAAAAGCCAGTTGGAACAAGTTGAGACAGCGTTGGCTCTAGCACGGGTGCGGAGAGGGTTAATTTCAGCTGGGTACAACCATGGTAGTGGCAACCAGGTGGCTCCGAAGAAAGCAATATAGGTAAAGAGACCGACTCCAGCGCCCTTGGCACTTGGTCCCTTTCCATCTTGTGGGATAAGACAAGCGAAGACGAGGACCATAGAAAGACATTGTCCAATAGTACCAATAATGAACAACTTGCGACGACCAGCTTTCTCAATAATGAACCAAGACACAGTTGCGAAAATAGAGTAAACAATCATGTTGACACCTCCAAGGAGAAGAGCCAAGTTCTTCGAGGTACCGATAGAGGTTTCGAAGAGAATTGGGAAATAGTAGATAACTGCGTTACATCCACCGAGTTGTTGGAAGAATTGGGAAGATGATCCAAGAAGCATACGGCGGAAATGTTGGGTTTTGCCTCCAGTGAAAAGAGCTGAGAAAGGGGTTTTAGTAGCGGCTCCGGATGCCATGATACTGTCCATGATAATAGTCTTCTCCAATTGAACTTGGGGATCGTTGTGTTCAAGACCAGAGAGAGCGGCAATAACATCGAGTCCCTCTTCGTGGCGCTCTTTAGCTAAGAGCCATCTAGGAGACTCTGGGAGGAAGTAAGTTCCGACAATGAGGATGACACCAAAGAAAATCTGGAAAGCAATTGGGAATCTCCAGGTAAGGTCATCTGGTCCATAAGAAGCACCGTAATCGATCCAGTAAGCGATCATAGTTCCGAAAGCGATAACTCCTCCTTCAATACAGATGAGCAAACCACGGTTGGTAGATCGACTACATTCTGCTTGATAAGTGGGAATAGTGGATGTGTTGATTCCATTTCCAATACCAGTGATAGTTCTTCCAATAATAAATTGAGCAGTTGCGTTAGAGCCTTTGATGGCAGTAATTTGAATAATAACTCCAAGAATCATGATAATTCCACCAAGCATCATCTGCAAAATTTCAGTCAGAATTTCTTATCTTATCGGAGCAGTCCGGGGATGCGGGGAGATGGGGTAAAACTTACGGCTCTTCTTCTACCAGTGGAGTCACCATACCACAAAATGAAAATAGCACCCAGTAAACATCCAATTTCGTAGATAGCTGTAACGAAACCTTGGTAAACACTGTCATCTTTGGTCTCAGGGAAGTAGTTGTTGAAAGGGTCTGCGGCGATAATTCCTGACATAACACCTTGATCATATCCAAACAACAAGAATCCAGTTGTGGCAATCGTTGAGACTAAAAGACCCAACTTTCGGCCGTGAAGACCAGCATAGGTCTTTTGCGTTGGCGATACCTCAGGAGAGACCATGTTGCCTGTTGCGTATGTTGTATCTGAGGGAGGAAATCTTCAAGATTTCGAGAACGTCTGGCTCTGCCAGTAACTATCAAGTTTTGTCAAACACAACGCTGTTGCGCTACTGAAATCAACTTGTGGAGGTCTGGAGAAATGGAGGCAGGAGATATGGGATGAAAGTGATAGAAAACTGGAACGAGGGGGAAGATCTCTTGCTATATACTTGTTGATCTATTCCCCATCCTTTGTCTTACATACTCGGTGGGTCCGCTATCTGTGAATGAAGGAGAGGAGAGTCCACATTTACACATGCATGCTTAATGTTCCAACGTCGGAACGACAGTTTTAGGAAACCCGCATAAAAGCTGCGACCTAGTCATTGAAGTAACCGCCTGCAGGGAAAGTGTCAGTTTGCAGAGCATTTTTACAGGGAATTTCAAGGCTCGTTGGTTGTAGGATCGCGATGCTGTGAGAGTTGAATATTTTCATGTGGAGCTCCCAAGCATTGGGCTTGAGATCTGCATCGAATTCATGAGTAGGTAAGACCCATATGAGAAAGCGGTGACTGAATCGTCAAGTGAGAGAAAATTTAAATTCATATGATTGGATAATATTGTCAGAATTAAATGAAGAATCTTACTCTTCGACCATAAGCCAACGGCATTTGCGTGACTAGTTTGCTCCTGTAGGGGTATGAAAAGAGAATTCAATAGACCCACAACAGACGTCACTGGCTGGCTAAAAATGTGTGGAGTTTTCAAGATTTGAGTGTGGGATTGAGGAGGAGATTGTGCCTGTGTGTTTATGAGAAGTGGGACGTTATTCTGATTCTTAATCTTCGGAGTGGAGGTCAGCATGATTATGGGGAAGTTTTGCTATCTAGGCACTCATCCCTCTGGAGACATGTGCGTTTCCCCATTGTAATGATTCAGATACCGAAAAAACATGAATATAATACAGTTTCAACGAAGTAAATCGGAAAGGAACTAAGGTTCCTAAAAGACGGAAAGGCTTTTTTGTGTTTCTTACTTCGAAGCTTATCCGGTCGGCACATGGGCTAGCGAACTGCTGGCCCGACATTTTAACATCTTGGCCGCAACAGCTACCTCGGTAAATGCTCACTTGGCATCCATCAATGAAGGGGCGAAATTAACTTTCTTGAATTCCAACATATGTCAAGTCAGGCAAGTATTTTCCAAAGAAAATATTTTCACCAAGCGCGCAAATCATGGTTTCTACGAGAAAATGACGGTGATCTACCCCCAGAAAAATCCTTACATGTCAAACGTTATTTCAACCAAAATTTTACGAAAATGAGATGCAAAATAACGTCATAGAGGAATTCCCACGCCAAGATAGACCGAGGCAGATCCGAGATAATAGATGGGATCTTTTGTGTGTGAAATCTGAAGGACCCTGCAGCGGAAAAGTTCATAGGCGGAGGAAGGATTCAGTGGGTGGCTGGCGCGAAGTTGGTTACACTTTTGGGAATGCAACGGGACGAGTGAGATGGTGAGGAGAAAGAAATTTTGTGGGACGTGTTCCGATGTTGTGGATTTAAAGTGGTTTGGTGGATTTCATGGAGTGAACTCAATGAACTGGAGTAACGGAGTCATCAACAAACGTGTGTATTTGGTTCCACTATGGGTCAATGAGTTCCAACTTTCTCTTTCATAGAGACTAACAAAGCACCTATTTTCTCACACCCCCAATCCCCAGTTCCGAGGATAAAGCGTTGACATGGACGCTAATGACTTTCATGGAGAAGCACGACTCGTATTTAGGTTCTTTATCCGAATCGATAGGCGATAGCGTATCATTGTAGACAAACGAGCACTTTTTATTGGAATCAAACGCAGGCAAATGCTACCTCATCTTGATGTGTATTCACCCGTTACGTATACGAAAGGAGGGATTAAGAATGAAGAGAATGAAAGAAAGAAATATCATTTTGTTGCAGCCTTGAACCCTGATTTGTTGTCTAGTTTTTCCGATCATCCCTACTGGTGAAACGCGGAAAGATGGAGGAATTGGGTGGAGAATGGAGACAACTGTGGTGGAGATGCTGGGTCCTCCACAACCTTGAACTTGCATTCAACTTTCCCAATCACAGACCACCAAATCACGAGTTTGAAAACTCCGAAGAACGTGACTGGGTTCATTAATAAGTATCCCGGGAAATCGTCTCATATCATCTCGCGATTTGCTGTGGTGACAATATTCGGGACTGCAGAGCATGATGCATCGCTCGCAGCAGCATGAGTGTCTCTTTGACCCGCGGGTTTTATTGGCAATATCCGAATTCAAGCTACTAACTTGAAATCGGTGTCCTACTCGGTGCGAAGTGGTGTCGATCACAATCATGTGCCAAGGATGTTTATCCTCAAATGGTGAAAACCCAAACAAACATCGTTTTTTGTTATCGTCAGTTGTCCACCCATAGAAGTGGTTGAAGTTGAGACACACTTGTGTCAGAAACTCAAGATAAGACGAGGAGCGGTCTATGATGACAAAATGGGGGCAACTCTGTATCCCATTATTCGTTCGGGCGGGAAAATCGGCATAGATGAGTACGAACAGAGTATCAGAGCTCTAAGGCATCACTGATTACAATATCTTTGCCCGGAAAACTCTCCTGAAGTAGCAATTGTGGCAGGGACAGCGTCGAAAGTTGGAGAGTGAGAAAGGAATGGACGATTTGATTACGGCGGAGAAAGGGTGGAGAATAAGCTAGCAAAATGAGAGTATGAGGTCATTATCTGACTCCATATTGTCCTCGCATTTATTGATCAGGGAGGGATTACGCGATGGATTCGTGGAGGTCATCACGACAGCTTCGTAATCTAAAACAAATCTTGTCCCGCGAAATTAAAGATTGAACAAGATATAATTCTTACAATCTCGGAACTTCAGAAGAGACTTTTAGCCATCGTGAAGTAGAGTCAGTGGTGAGTATAGTCGGAAGGTGTTGCCGTGTCAGTCTATGTCGTACAATTGATCTGGCTCTTTCCCCTTTGACTTGTCAGATGCAAGTGATCGAGTTGATCACTTCTATACACAGCAACTGTCAACAAACAAACCGATGATCCTATTGAAGGGACTAACCTGCACGAAACCCTAATTATGGATCGCAGGGAAAGCAAAACTGGAAATTATCGGTACCACAACAGAAGTCGATTATATTGAATGACAAAGCTAAAAGGGTGAAGGCTTTGAGCTTCAAATATTTACCCTACTAAACTCGAAAGGGTAGGAAGTTTGTGATATGCTCTTTGGTTCTATCATAGGTGATGCATCACGTTATTTTCCTGCCCTTGAGTCCCTTTGATCCTCAGAACCACCTCCACCGCGCATCAACTTCTCGGCCAATGCCTTCGCTTTCTCCCTTGCCGCCAAATTCTCTCTCTCAATAGTGCTTTCTGTTGCATGGCATCTATATTTCCCTTCCCGTATGGCTCTTTTCTCCTGCAACTTTCTGAACTCCTCTTGATCTGCTCTCTGATTAAATGAGAGAGTCTTTCCCATTGAAGACATATTATCCTCTTTGGAATCAGTAGGTTTATCAGCCCACGCAATACCCTTACCTTTCCCTTTTCCATCCCGCCTCAGAATACCTTTTGGCGAAGCTTGCTCATCCATTTTTGCAGTTTCGACTTCTCCTTGATATTTTGATTTTTCCCTCTCAAACTTGGCGTGGGCTGCTTCGCGTTGCGTACGAATTTTCCATTGAGCTGGACTTTCACTTGGCAGTAGACGAGAATCTCGAATGGCTGATACGGGGAAAACAACGGGTAGATGTTCAAGCTTTGGGTTCGGTTTTCGCTGAGGTTGTGTTACTTTTGGGACTAAGGGAGACATCGGAGGTATTTGGAGATTTTCTCTCGGCCGATAGACGAAAGGTCGGTCCTTTTCTTCTTGTGTCGATCGGAAAGCCTGCGGTGGACCATTCTTTTCCGGTGTGTGATTGCCACCATAAAGTTTTTCACGACGAGGAGGTTCCGGTAAGCCACCACTATGAGCCTGTGGATTAACTCTCGCCCTTGGAAGTGCTTGTTTCATATGCGCCTGGAATGGCGGTGAAGTCCCTTCTGTGTAGGCTGGCCTTCCTCTCTCCTCTGATACTGATAGCTCATGTGCGTAACCATTTTCACCACGGCTCCTAGACTCTGGTCCGTTTCTTGCCGAATGTGGTGATGCGTGTTCTGGTCTGGCATATGTTAGGGGACTCTCATCTCGAAGTCGCGAATACTTATTCTTGCTGTTATATACCACTTCTGTCGTGTTTTCCCAAGCCCGATCTCCATTCACAAAGTCTCTGAACTGTTCTGCACCCTTCAGTACCATCTCTTCAGCAGTTGCGATAGCTCGATTGACACCTTTCAGAAGATTCTTCCGCGTACTTTCGTCATCTTGCCTTATTGCTCTTCGATGGCCTTCGCTTGCCACCCATTCTTTGTTCAATTTTCTTCTAGCTTCAGCTAGTTGTCTTGTTCCCGTAGGTATCTGTGGCGATCTTCTTCTCCGATTTGATGTAGTTTTTCGATACTGTCTCCCGCTTTCGCCGTTTATGATATCAATAAGCGACTGTCGGAGAGAATCTTCGTCATGCCGGATATCATGCTCAATCCTCTCATCCATTGCATTTCCTGACAAAACTCCTCCAGTCCCCGGGACGTTCTTTGGATATTGCAAATCGGTGATGACTACCTTATCACTACCATCAGCACCAGGTACTATATCGTACTTGATCTCTGCTTTGTTTTCTCTATAATCTCTTAGCGCTCGATCTTGCCATCGAGCATCGGCTTGCTCTTTTGCAGCTCGACGACGACCTTCCATTTCCAAGGTTTCTTTTTCACGTTGAAGATCTCGCAATTTCATCTTCGTGTCTCGCCAATGTGTATATTCTCTCGATTTTGATGCTTCGCGCTTCAATGACGTTTTTGAGTTTTTGGGAAGAGGGCTCTTTATGTCAAGAACAGCGTTGCGTAATGAAGACAGGCCCTCTTGTGGTGAGTTGGCAGGAGTTTGAAATCCTGGATCTTTTATGACTGGACTGGGACCACGCTCAAATATTGCACCTTCCTCTAGTGTAAGACCAGTAACATGTATTCTTAGCTCAGATGGTGTGTTTGCATCAGTGTTGTATTCAAAAATTTGCGCAAGCAGCTTTTGCCGCAACTCCTGAGCGGCTGGTGTCGTGCTACTTGGAGCACCCGCTGATGCTTTGGCGATGGATGTGTCATTCATCATGATGAATTCCGTAATTGCAAAGTAGTATGAGACGGCTAATCGTACGAAAAGTTCACTCGAGCAAGATAGGCTCCCTGAAACAAAGTACACATGATGCCAAATGTTTACTGAAATATGTACACCTGCCAGTTGCTACGGCAAATTATCTACAATTATTATACACGGATTGAAAGTAATCACAGCATTTGTGATTGGATTCATTGAAATTGTTGCTACTAAATTTAACAATGATTCAGTGGTGCTACTGTCGTATAGTGTTGTACTAGCAAACTTTAATTATGACTATAAAAGTTTGTTTGGCGTTCTCGGATGATTACGCCCATTTCATAGTGGTAGTTTGTACGATGAAGAAAAGCAAAAACATGGAAACTTTTTGCGTTAAACCTTTTGTTTCCTCTCAAGAAAGAGTGACTGACTAATTTCAACAGTATGTCTTCTCTTTCGGGATGAAAGAAGAGACCTATATTGCCATCAGCTCAATCCTTTGCCATCAGATCCAACAGTGCATGCATAAAAGGTTTCATTGTTTCACTGTAGAGAATGGTTGCAAGCTGTCTTTTGTTAAAGTAAAGCCAAGGAGAAAGAAGATGTGATTGCCTTCCATATCTCTGTCTTAATAATAATGAAGATTTCACTTGATGAATCACCCATGAGAAAGAGAATGCTCTCTCATCTCCTTACCACAGAGTCATGCAAGGAGTTTGAAAGAAAATTAGCTCTTTATGATGCCTCAACCATATCCTAATATAAACATGGTGGAATATCTCGTCTCATCCTCAATCTTCTGCCATCAATCTAAAATCGATGACATTTCCGATCATGTCATCAAGTAGTTCCAATGCTGTCAATGCTGCACTCGCGGCTGGAATTGCTGCTCTGGCAGCAGCAGCAGCCACCCAGACTGATATACAAAACGCCGCTTTGCGAGCCAATCCTTTGCCGTCCCGAAGAAATGAAACGCGTGCCGTCCTCAAGAAACTCACAGAATTGACACTCCAACTTTCCCTAATGGATTTGGATTTGGATCAAAATGTAGTTGAAGCTGACCCACTAATCACTTTCACCCCTCCAACTATCCCTACGCCAGTAATGCAAGCACGCTCACCCGCCTTTGAACGCCCATACCAGATACGTCAATTTCGACCTCCATTCGACGTCTCAATTCATTCAGTCAGCGGCCCCGTTCCACCCGAACGCGGAGGTACACAATGGACGCCTGCACGCAGCAACGCCTCACATGACGAAATAGCTGCTGCCGAGAACTGGGAGAAGCGAAAGCAGATCCTCTATCACTTCTACGCCTATAATTATTTCGACACCCTTGCCGATTTTCCTGCGGCGGAAATTGCACTTAGAAATGCGTCTTCAGCTCGACCCGATCCGAAGATCCAACCACGTCCGCATTCTAAGAAAGCCAGTTTGGATCTGCTCAATCTCACAGATTCTGATTTCAATTTCTTGAATCATACTTCAGAACGGATGGCCAATATCGCGCATGATACACACTACAGGCTTGCTAACTACCTGAAGCACATGCGTAGCGAACTCATTGAGCCCACCACAAATCCATCTATCAATCTGATTATCCCATCTACCAACCATCGTGAGGATTTGTTATTCAAAATCTTCGAGTACAATAAAGATCGTCATCCACGCGCAAGATTAATGATGCGATTTTTGACGGATGCGGATGTGAAGTTTCTGGATAGTTTGAATACATGGTTGATGCCACGAGGGAGCGATGGACGGGTCGGAAGTACAGAGAGAATAATATCTGGAGTTTCTGATTTTGCGGAGGAGCGTGCTCGCAGCGATAGATCGAATAGCCAGTTCGATGAGAAAGTTGAAGAGTGTTTGCGTTTGCATAGATGCTCCGAAAAACCTACGCATACTGTTTATCGTGGTCTTCCGCGTTTCGAGGAGGTTTAGGGGATGGTTGACGGAGAACCCACGAGGAGCATTCACTTCTGGCAATGTACTGCGTTGAGTTCGGTCGTGAATATTGGCGATTTAGTGCTTAACTAGGGTCAGACAATTTACAAGTAGAATTTAAACGATTGGTCTTCACTGTCCAAATTGTCAAGCACATTGTAGAAAACCCTGACAATTTGACGGACAACACTAAGTTGAGAAAAAGTTTAGGTGTACCACACGTAAATGCAAATCTGAAAAGGTAGTGCATCATCACATTCGTACCGGCAGGAATTGATTTGGAACCAGAAGTCTAATTAGGAACGAAAAAGCAAGCATAGTACGAAGAAATATCGATACGTGCGTTTGCATATAAATGCCATATGAACAGCCGGGGAGCTTGGATTCTCAGGTACGAAACAATATGTAGCATCGATTTTGGTGATTTCTTCCACGTTGTCTCTTTATGCCTATTTCACAATCACGTCAGCAATACAGAGGGTCGCATATCGACATAAAAACACAAGTTTCATACATTTGTGTCACTAATTCAAATTAGCACTATCTCGCTTATGCGCCATGTGCTCCCGATATACCCAAACCTAATGCTAATGTAACCAATTCCAATCCACCAAATCAATGCAATAACAAAGAATTCCAACTTATGACCCGCTCGGACCCGCTTCCTCATCATTGTCCTTCCCATCTCTTGGCTTTCCTCTTAGAAATTCTCCAAGTGTATTACTTAGACTCCGAGCTCTGGTTTTTATTGAACGGTTGAATGATTCACGTTCTTCTATCTCTTGTGCTGCTTCATTATCCTTTAGAGGTGCATCAATATCCTCCTCATCAGGCGCGCTTTCACTTGCTTGTATAAGTCTTTGGGACACCGATTTTGATCTTCGAAGATCGGGCTGCCGTCTAGAAGATTTGCTGCGAGGGGAATCAACTCCACGTCTTAATGAATCTGCTATTACCACACTTAATCCTCCGGATAAGGGTGATAACAATGGACCAGGAAGCATGCGAGATAATGAATAACTTGTTGGCGTCATTGGTCGCTCGGCTTGGGGTGGTGAGGGTCCATTTTGTTGACTTTGAGGAGTGTGAAAATGAGATTGCGTATTATTTCTAGTGGGAAGTGGCCGTATAGGAGAGGATGATTGAGCCTCGGAAGGCAGTACCGGGGATGAAATGCTGGATTGAATCCCTGGATGTTTTGGTGTTTGTAGGAAATTTTCATTTGAATCCAGCCATGGATTTGAGATTAGGGGACTTTCCTCATTTGTAGGTCGATCACCAGACAGATCCGAAGTACGCACCCGTACTACTGGATGTCGTGACGAAGATCTTTGTGGTGTTTGTGGTCGTGATGGTGAAATTACAAAGCTAACATGTGATGACCTCCGCGATTCTTGGATTGCTTCTTCGTCGACTGACCCGTCACTAGCATGGGTGAGACTCGGCCTTGACTTCGATTGAAGACTAGACCGTTTCCGTGTTTCGTTGCGAAATGGAACTTCGTCGCTGGTGGGTTCCTGGGTGGAGAGTCTAATCCTTTCTTCCTCACCTTCAACATCTGCTTCACTAATGTTCTCATCATCGTGCGATGGCCTACCGCTGGTAATGAGCCAAACCCCGAAGAATGTCAACATACAGCCACCGATAAATTTTACTGCATTCTCGCTTGTGACTTTTTCGAAATCACGATAGAGAATTGCGCTGCCAGTAATGACTGATAACGTGAAGATGACGAATTGTACAGGGATAACTTGAGTCGAATCGAAGCGTTGAAGAGCCCGGTTGACATATCTAACCTGCATAATGGCGGTAGCAACCAGCACGAGCAGAAGAGCATATGTAACCGGTGTTGTCAACGCTCTCCAAAGAGTAGAAGAAAGCATCGATGATACACCCTTTGTTGAAAGTGCTGTATAGCCTCCTAAATAATGATAAGTTGAGTGAAACCGGCATATAACAATGATAACTCACCAAACAATCCAACAAGCCCAAGATCAACCAATATTGTTTTCTTGCCATATCTCGGGCTTGCCCACATCAAGATCGCAATCAACAATACTGTGATACCCATATATATTTCAAACTCAGTTGTAGTAATAGCACCCCAAATCTCATGAGGACCAAATTTCTTTTCTTCTTGCTTGGCACTCAAGACGACAGTAACAGCACCTGCAACAGCAACTACCACTCCCCAGAAGTCCCTGAGTCTGAATTGTTCCTTGAGCATGATCGGAGCTATCACGCAGTTCGATATCAGAGCGACGACACCCAAAGGAGAAACGATTGATGCGGGCGCAAAGCCATATGCCAAAAAGTTTCCAAGCTCTCCAATAGTCATTAAAACAATCCCTCCCCACCAGTATGGAGACCGCAAGTATGTAGATTTTTCATCCCCATCATCGTCCTCTGTGCAAGTCGAAGATTGAGAGTTTTGGGAGTGAAATGATCGTCGTAAGGGTTCCTCTTCACCACCTTCATAGTTCTCTTCGACAATTCTAGTCCTATCTGCTCCCGCTGTTCCAATGGTTCCATACCCCCCCGCAGATTTTGAAATGGCCTTCAGCCTCTCTTTCCTTCGTATCTCCCCCTCATGTAACCTTATATGTGCATATCGTTGTATGTTCAGGGCGAAAGATATGAGAATATTGCCCACTATTGCAGTGACGATTCCAATCAGCGATGACCAACGCTGGATCTGAGAGTCGCCCCTAATATATACATTTGATTCAAATGGTATAGGCTGCGGTATCGGTGTAGTGAGAAAGGATATGGTATCCGCATTAAGTTTCGCCGTCGATAAATACATGGCAGCGTGTAGCGTCTTATTGAAGCTATCCCGATGATGATGATTTCACCCCACTCATAGTGTACGTACAGGGGCGGCCGAGTCGGATGAAGATCTAAACTTTGTTCGCCGAAAATGAAAATGGTATGAATATTTTTCTGATATTAAACATACACAACAATGAGTAGTATTAGGGGAGATGGTTGAATTTAAAGGGCGGGTTTGATTGTTGCATGAATTATTAAATTTTCTTTTCTTGATATCATTTGAAGCGCGCCTTTCCAGATTATAATGATACCTAATGCCTGCTTGCCTTTTGTGGTACTGCGGCGAGAGCGGGAAACGGGTTTTCGCGTATCTACGAGTCTACCTAGCTCGAGCCTAGTAGGAACGACCCGCAAGAAGCTCTGTTCCCCAGGCAAGTGTTCATTTCAATCTTCACGATAACAAAGCTTCAAGGTTTCAACGTGCACACCTGGTCAGAGTCCTCACTCATGTTTATTTACAGCAATTGATATCTTATAACCATATCTCAAGTACCCACCGTCTTCCTCTGCCCTGCCACTCTCTAAAGATAACCACAAACAATACCTACCTGGATATCACAGGCAACCTGCGAGGAGGGACCATTTGAACAATGAGCGACGACGAAGATTTCCAAATTGAAGGCCCGGAACTAGCAGAGGATGATCCCATGAGAGCGTTCTTACCAGCGTCCTTTGGTAAGAAGTCAAAAGAGGCAGATGTAGCCGCGCAAATCGATAGAACAAGACGACCAGCAGAAAGGAAGGCCGAGGCGCCAAAGGTGGCTACTGAGGAGGTTGGACAAGAAGTTGGACAACAGAAGCTCGCGTCAGAGCCAGCGTCTAAAGATTGGGGCTCTGATGAAGATGATGAGGATTCCGATAGCGATGGGGGCTCTAACGACGATGATGAATATCCAACTTCTCACGAATTGATACTGAAAACCCACGAACGCGCGGTTACTACCACCGCACTTGATCCTTCAGGTTCGCGACTCATAACTGGTTCGAGCGATTGTACCCTCAAGTTTCACGATTTTGCTTCCATGACCCCAACAACTCTTCGATCTTTCAAAAGCGTGGACCCAAATTATTCAAAAACATCAGCAAACTCCGAAACCCATCCGATAAATCATGTTGAATTCAATCCACATGCCGGAGGTACCTTTCTCTGTATATCCGCTCATCCGCAAGCGAAATTAATGAACCGAGACGGAGATATTATCGGAGAGTTCGTAAAAGGAGACATGTATCTGAGAGATATGAATAATACGAAGGGGCATATTTCGGAAATTACTACAGGTACATGGAGTCCGATGGATAAGAATATCTGCGTTACAGCCGGTACGGATAGTACTTTACGAATTTGGGATGTAAATGTCAGAAGATGTCAGAAAGAAGTTATCGTCCACAAATCCAAGGCTTCAGGATCAGCAGGAAGGACAAGAATGACTGCCGTTGTTTGGGGAGGCCCAGCACAAGGTGGAAACAATCTGTTAGTCTCTGCAGCTCTGGATGGAAGCTTAGTGATGTGGGGTGGCAATGGACCATATGCAAGACCAACAGCTGAAATCAGAGACGCCCACACTCCGGATACATGGACGGGTGGTATTGATATCAGTCCCGATGGCCGAATGGTTGTTACACGAGGTGGTGACAATCTGATCAAACTTTGGGACATTAGAAAGTTCAAAACTCCCATTGTGACAGCCTCACACCCCTCAACATCAGATGTCTATTCGGTTACTAATATCAAATATTCACCTAATGGTGCCAATATCATCACTGGTTCCGCATCGGGTCATCTACATATCTTAAACTCGGGCAATCTTAAACCAGAACTAGTTACCCCAGTAACACCTGGATCTCCACTTATAACAGTTCAATGGCATCCAAAACTCAACCAAATCGTTACTGGATCTGCAAATTCCGAGGTTCATGTTCTATACAATCCGAACACATCTGTTCGAGGTGCCGTTGACGTAATGTCTCGTGCACCAAAGAAACGCCATGTTGACGATGACCCCAACTTTACAACAGATCAATCTGCTGGTATGTCAGGGGATAGCATCGTTACTCCAGGTGGTGTCATGTCTAATATATCGGCCACATCATTCTCTGCGAGACATCCTACCATAGGCTTGACTGCCTCAGGTCGTTCTCGAGATCCACGCCGACCTAATCTACCACTGGTCACACCTTTTGCGAAAAGTCAACCGGATGAGAAACATATTAATGAAAGTATCACACTGAGTAGCATGCGTGATGAGGATCCCAGAGAGGCGTTGTTGAAATATGCTGAGCTTGCTAAGACAGACCCCCTATTCACCAATGCCTGGAAAGATACTCAACCGACAACTCAGTATGCTGAAATAAGTGACGAAGAAGATGAAGGGCCAGACAAGAAAAAACTGAAGAGATGATCAGTTTTATCTATGAGATATCTGCACTACTTCTATAGGGCGAGGAGTACATCAGCGATCAAGGGATTTATTGAGATCATCTAAGACTAAGCAATGTTCCGGCAAGTTTATAATATGATTCCTGATTATATGAAGCAATACTCAAACCAAGTTTCCATCTTTAGATCCCAAACTTACGATGTTTGACCTATCTACACCAGCCCGTCTTTTGAAGGAGCAATCATCGTCGTGCTTTAATTATTCTTTGATATCATCACAGCATACGTGGTGATAGCAAACATCCGGGAAAATTATTCAATCTCCACGTGAGCTCGAGAATAGAATAAGCAAGAGGTAACACGGTTCAATATCTAGTAGGTTCACAGTACTAAATATATACTTTATTCGTCATACATTCTTTCCATTGTGGCTACCGTCATTCTTGTATGCATTTTGCATTGTAATTCTCTTCATTGCCATATAATATTTTGTTTGTTCAAACTCAAGTTTCAATTATCAACTAGTAGTTATCAACTCTCGACTCTCACTCAATCACATATCAAATCGTCCCATTCTGATTCTCGTCCCAAGCATTACTTGACTTGCACTCCCAATGCCCCTCTCCCCCCTCTAAAAAAGTTTTGCTGCTTAGGTATCCGGAGAATGATCCGATGTTTCAGAGAAGACCTTTTTATTGAATTTATGGGAATATTTTGGTGATTATCGAATGGGCATAAGAAGGGTCTCGCGGATCTATTTGCAGGTGTAGGTTTGTTTTTGGATATGGATATGAATGTGGAAAGTTTGAAATGAGGCGTGGAAGGAGAAGAAAAAATTTGGTATGTGGGATGTGAATATTCAATGACTAGAAATCCATGAATCAATCGACACTGGCATCGATATCTCCAATTTACCCCGCCTTGAATCCTGACGTTGGAAGTTGTAGATTGTCACTTCGCTGCGAGGGTTTTGCTCTGTCCTCCCGTTTCATGGTTTAGTATCAAAATTGAAAGCTGAGAATATATTCACTTCTATTGCGGTAGAATGATATATTGACGACGTGTAGCAAGCGATCAGGCAATCCTGGATGCTATACGGGAGCCTGGAAATATCACAATAAAAAAACCACTTCTCCCGCGTCAATAATTGAAACATCCTTTCTGGAGATCGAATTTATATAAACCATTCGGCTTTCGAACTCGGAGAAACCTTCATGCTCAAAATAACTGCTTCTCTTGTTTTGAAGCGCGCAACTCCAAGCAAATAAAACCGGGATTCAAGGTCGTGAACCCCAATCTACATTATTCATAATCATTGAAAGGATAAAGAAATCGAATACAAACAGAAGCCGACCATCTGCCGTTATGGCTACAGAAGATACGGAGATGGGTGGGACTTCTGTTGTGCCTCTGTATGAAGATACTTATCGATGGTTTGGCTTTCCACCATTGCTACCATCACCATCTTCATCTATATCAGAGGTTGCCATAGATACAAATAAGGATCCTTCTTTGGACGAAACTTCAAGCGCCTCAGTTCCATTTGAATCCACAGAATTACTCGCAGATCCGCTAATCTGGAAAAATACGAAGAAGGAAACGAACGGTGACAAGACTCCTCCTAGCTCTATCATGCATCTCTTGACCTTGACAACAATACCTCAACACACGGGAGTTTCTGCGACCAATCACAGCAATATTTCAGGACTTCCAACTGCACCTTCTCAGTCCATTTCTCCAGCTCCCGTTCTAGGAGTCGAATCGCGGAAGAGTGTTCCTGAGAACAAATACCCGAATGGAAATGTGACATCTGAATATGATAAGTTGAGTGCGATTATTGATAGAAATCATGCAGTTCTTTCAACATTACAGCCGTCTTCGTCTCTGCCCTCGCCAATTACGAGCGGTGGTTCAAGTACGAACACGATTAGTTCCAAGGACCAATATCTCGGCCCATTGACAATATCTGGCCGCCCGGGTTTATTTGCGACCTTGCGTAAGAAATCTGCAAATATCACAGGATCCTCTTCCTTTCCGCAAACTGAACAACTTGGCTTGACTTTTGATACAGATATCACCACATGCAAATCACTCGAAGCATCAAAGGCATGGAAAGTAACGAGAGTATGTGAACTGTTGCTCAGGGCTGTTGCAAACATCGAACCTGGTAATGTTGAAGGTCATGTCGAAATTCTCAACTTCTATTTACAAGAGTATCCTTTGCAACGCTTGGTAATTTTAAAGGCTCTTGAAAACGCTGGGCACTATTTTCGCAAATTTTCCAAAGCTGTATGATACATTTCGTTGATTCCTACGACTATTCCATTGCTAACATATATTCTCTTCCTCTAGATGTCTGCCCATTCAAGTAAGTCATACAGAGAGCAGTGTATGCTAAGCGATGTTTTCAAAAAAGAGAACCCGATACCTCCAATCGTAAGTCAAGTCTCACAATCTTCGTCGTTCTTTACCAATACTTAATTCTTCCTCAGATACGTCCTCTGCTACCCTTCGCATCTATAGCAGCCAGCTACGTTAGAAATACTAAGTCTGCTCGTCGAGGGGGAACATCATCACTGCACACCTATCAATACCATTACCACAACGAATTTAAATGCGAAATCAAGCATGAAAATGAAAGTTTCCCGTTGGGTTTCAATCCAATTTTGATGCACACTCTCGGAAAGTGTAGCAGACACCGTCTTCGAAACGAGAGGCATGAGAGACATAAGATACACAAGAAGCAGTTCAAGAAGGGATTGACGCATGTGCATAGGAATCCTATCTTGTCCGAAGAAATCGTCAAGGAATGTGGAGGAGAAACTTATGCAGAGCTGGAAGGCAGAGTCGAGATGGATGATATGAGAAATGCTGCATATTGGGAGATGACCACTCGACAAATTGAGGAGATGCCTACTCGGAAAGATAGACATTCCGTTTTCAAGAAACGTCCGTCTCCATTGAAGGGGGAATTGCCAAAATTAGACGATCATTGGATTCCTGACTCTGTGATGCCATATACGAAGATATCTGGACAAATAATCAAATTCGAATCGGAAATCGTGCGAGCCAGCAAGCGCAATCAGGATACTGATAATGAGGCAGAGGAAGAGGAAAGAAAATTTCATGAATCTCGATGCAAAGCTAGAAAGCTCGATTCTAAGGAATCGGATGCTCGGATGGCTCAATGGGAGAGAGAATACAATGCAGCGAAAAAACAGGTTCGGAAGGAATACGAGGAAGAGATGAAAAAAGAAGAAGAAGAAACGCGAAAAACAACCGAAGAAAAGGAAGCTGAAGAGGAACGGGAACGGCTGTGGGAAGCGCAAGAGAAGAAAACCAGGGAGAAGGAGATTCAGGGAAAGGGAAAGAATGAGCGATTGCGTACGGAGCGAGAGAGTGCAAAGGACCGTGCGAAGGAGGGACGGAGAGAACGCTTGAATTGGGACAATAGGGAGAGGTCTGACTGTCGTGTTACACAAGCATGGATGGATCTGGGTGCTGATATGGCTCGTGTGGGGAGTTGGGATTGAGGCGAGAGTTAGGGAGAAGGAATGTGTCGTATGAAGAAATCCTATTGGGCTGGTGGCGTATGTACCACTATGTCTACAAAACTGGATACTTCGAGGCATACGAATGTTTAGAATGATGGAACTACTTTCTTCTTCATGCCACTTTTTCGAGGTTTAGATGTTGGAGGGAGAACTAGTCGAAGGCACAAGAAGAGCGTCTGGGGCGGACATTGATATGTACCCAAAGTATACCAAGTAACCTTAAGAACGGAAACTCTTCATTTCTACGCTATTCAGAATCTTAAGAGTAGCTTACTTCTACCATACCAAGCAATATTCACCAGCAAATTGAATGATTGTAACACAGATTCTCACAATCAGCAAAGTTGAGCAGTAAGCAAGAAAATAAATGGCGACTTCTTTCTCATAAACCTTACATTCCATCTTTGTCAACCATGTCCAAACTCTCTTATATATGATTTCATTGTCTATTGGAGCTTGTCGTTTATACAGCACTAGGAATGGAGATTGGGCGAGGAAGGTGGAGCAGATTGTTGCACGGATTTTGGAGGAGTCGACGGGGCACTGGATGGGATCTATGTGAGATATTGGGGGATGGCAATGGTGTGAAGGGCCGTTTGAAGATTGATTGGGCTCAGAAGGTTGTGATGGCTAAGATATGCGAGAGTGAAGGTGGAGGTGAAAATGATATTGATGCCCTTAGAGATATGCAAGAGGGGAGGTTATCATGGTGGATGGTGAGGAAGGATTCTAGGGGTACATTTGCAGCAAAAGAAGTACTTGGCGATGCTGATAGTGGTTGTTTGTTCGATCTATATTAAAGTTCCATTTGTGACTAGATTCTTGTCTGTGTGATCAAAAACTTGGAGTGATAGTCTTGATACATATCAAGGTTCCTTAACGTCAAAAAGATTGACGGAAAGAAGCGAATCTGCTTTGTTATCTTGTCCTTTCTTTCATAAAGCGTTGCGGAAGATTGGTAACTGCAATACCATAGTGCTAAAATTCGAGATTTATCCGCTTGCCCGTTTGAGATGAAAGTAGACAAAATGGACACAAAGATGTGACGAACGCATCGCTTAAAAATTGACGATCAATTGGCATGAATTTGTGGTTCTGATAGGTCGGGCTCTTGACCTAGAAGTTTTGTTGCATATCTCATGCTCACCTTCCAGACAATCCTTGAACAGATTTCTAATCTTATCTCTTTTCAGAGCGTCCTCGAGGTTTCATATGTCGGGAAGGATCCCATGATGATATCAATGGTCGGTGAATTCCATGTGTCACCCAAGAAATGTCCAAAAGGTGAAAATAAGACGTGCAACAAACCCCTTTTCCTGTAATCACGTGTATGAGAGAGATACGGAGTAGATTGAACCTCTGGAGTGGTCTCATCTAAGATGTATCATAGTGCAATAGTAGAGTCTTGCTCGATTAGTTTGACCATGTAAAGCAAGACATAAAGAATGAAGACGAGTATGATTACGTCTATAGAAATGCAACAGAAGTTCTCGGGTAAGGTTGAGCGTATAGATGAAGATCACTAGATGGGATCATAGCAAAAGGATATCCAAGATTTCCATCATGTCTCACTCCACCCGTGGCGTTCCTCTACTTTGGGGTATGCGAACGAAAACCCGTCCCAAAACGTTTACTAGCAGAGATGAGATGGAAATGTTTCAGACAACAATTGAAGTTGAAACAATACCAAATCCTGGGGGATAGGCTCGGTTGGCCATTCCGGAAGATGTGATGCTACACGACCCGTCTGGCATACATTAAACAGCCCTGGAGAACCACCTTTTCGCATCTAGAAAATCAAAAGATCCAGTTTAGTAGTGTGGCGTGTAGATAGACGTTCCTAGTGGTCAAAACCTACCAATGAGATATATCGATCGGGAAGCCACAGCGTGGTGTTCAAGTACTGGCTGACGAGTTGTGAGGCTGATGGATACTTGGTCCATTCAAAAGCTCCAATTAAGTAGGCTATGCATAAGCGACGTTTCAACAACTTCTGTAAGGCACAAACCAAACACCAAACTGCACACTGTACATGTACAGTCAAGCAAGATCCATATCTGCGTTGTGAAGACATGTCCCAAGAATGTCTAACTTTGTTGTTTGTTGCATGGAAAGATCATCTTTTGCACAACGCAATGATGATACGTGCCATTTGAAGTGAGGTTAGCAGGGAATTAACTTCGGGGCGGAATGGGCCTTTCCGTTTTGCTGTCAATCACGTGGAGCTATTGTGGCTAATTGGTCATAGCGCCAAGCGCCAAAAAAAACTCATGACCCCTCGTAACCCAGCCTCCTCAAAAATGAATATGACGGTTCACCAGGTTTCTACACATGCAAGAGGTGAATCATTGGGTCATAATGTTGGACTCGAGGTTCACTGCCACGTCTTTGCTCAGATAGTTCTGGAGAATAACTGTCTTACAGTCGTCCGTTAAATTGCTAACAGTCCCTTCCCTTAAATTGACATTTTTTAACAGGACTCGATTATATTCAATACTCACCAACAATGTATCATCACACTCCCGAATCACTATTACCTCGGACAGACTCGAAAAACCCCAATTCAACTTGTCGAGGTCTATCATCAAATGGAAAACCATGTCGAAGAGGTCTGACCAAATCACCACGAAATTCACCGAGTCCGAGTCCTTCAAGGGGAGCGCTGAGTCCAGATGCATTTTGTTGGCAACATAAAGATCAAGCTGGACAAACTGCCCCACCGACTCAACCTCGACCAAACCCTCTGCGCGAGAGATCAAGCGTAGACACATTGGTCGAGAGATTGGGTCTCCTAGAGGTCGATCAAAAGAAAACGAAGGGAAAACAGCGCCAGACTTCAGAAGATAATCGTGGCAGACGACCTGGGACGAGCAATGCTTCGAGGAATGAGCAGCAACGCCTTGAAGCTCAACGGCAGCAACAAGAACAAGAATGGCAGCAGGCACAAGAACATCATGAAGTTCCACATTCTACAAATGATGGCCAGGGACGACGCAAAAGAAGCACCCTAGAATTATTATGTTGCGGAGCAGAAGACGAGGAAATTCCACCAAGACCCCAACAAAAACCACACGAAGGACGTTCTTCCTCTCATGTACCGAGTTCTCGTATATCAGATCATCTTGATGTGCCATCTCATACAACACGTCCAGCCTCAAGACCTTCTTCGAGACCGCACACGTCATCATCGAGACCCTCAACTTCCAAGCCACCTGAAATGCTTCAACGTCCTACTATGGAACGTGATCCATCCTCAAGAACGGGGGAGTTTCTAGCTCACATTCCTTCATCAGCAAGCCCTCAGACAACAGCTGCATTATTAGCGGAACTAGCCAAACCAATCTCTGATGCTGATCTTCCTGGATTTATTTATATGTTCTGGTTGACCGATGAAGGGTTACCTACGGGACCTTCCGATGAAGCAGCTGGATCTCTTCTAACACCAACAACCAGAGCTGGACCTGGCCATCGACGAACTTCTGATGTTCTTGAATCCTTTACTTCTGCTCCACCGAACAAGAAGGAAAAAACAATGCTTCTCAAAATTGGAAGAGCTGAAAATGTTTTTGCTAGGATGCAACAGTGGAAGAAACAATGCGGTTATAATCTTTCATTGATTCGTTACTATCCTTATCATGATTCGTCTAAACCACCATCGAGAAAAGTTAGCGAAAATGACGGACCTCAAAAGGTGCCAAATGTGCACAAGGTCGAAAGACTGATTCATATCGAATTAATGGCTAGAAGAGTAAATTGCGGAAAATGCAAAGCATGCGGGAAAGAACATAGAGAGTGGTTTGAAATTGATGCCAATAGGGATGGAGTTACGATGGTAGATGAGGTCATTAAACGATGGGTAGACTGGGCTGAGAAGGACGAGGCGTCTAGACATTAGATATAGAGGTTAACATGCCTGGGTAATGCGGTGTCATCATAATTAATCACGGTCTATTTTATTCTTCACTGTAATTCTCGAACACTCATTCAACTCTTGCAATATATGCGTCCACTCCAAGTTCTTTATGTCCTGTCGGGTTATCTAAAGTTCCACATTGAAGATGGGCAGGCTGGGCGGAGTTGCTAGTGCCAATTCCTACCTAGCTCGTAATACATACGTTACTAAATTCAATACTTCTCGTTGCTTAGTATCAGCTTTACAATTCATTTTCCGGTTACAAATTTGGAGTCTTGCAATTGTGTGGGAGGAAATCTTCCCCTATGTCAACCTTCGCCTAATTTAATGCCAGTATGTCTTTGTTCCAGAGCATAATCCAGACGCTCATTTTGAGAGTATCTTATTTCTAAGGAGACTACTAGATTGTAAAAGATTTCTATACGAAACATTTCTGAATGGTCATTCAGCGCAAACACTGTTGGTGGTTGGATCAAATGTGAATCAGTGAGTTATTTGAGATGGTTATCTTCTGTTTGCTATCCATTCGATTCGTCCTGCGCATTTGAGAGTGCTGATTCGATAACGAACTTTCATTAAATCTATGTGTTCATGCAAAAATCAGACTTGGAGATTCACAATCATTGTTTGTTGTAACCCAAAGGATTGTGAAATGGCCCATCCTGAGAAGTTCGTATGAATCTTTCAGACTTTGAACATTTTCAATCATTCAGTAATTATATCTCCATTCACGATCATTTTATTCCATTTGCAACCTTTTCCATTAAACGCACTCTGAACTACCAGCGAGATATAAAAGAACACCGTTTCTCTTCTATCATCCTTGCAATAGATCCACACATTCCAAACATTACAGAACTCCATTACAATCAAATTTCGTAATAAGATCAAGACCGTTCCTCAACGTCATATCTCTATAAAAATGCCCTACTACTACCCCTACCCATACCCCATCCCGCACTACGCTCCCATCGTACCCGTCTACCCTAACACAACAGTAACCGCAGTTTCCGCCCCCATAATCCATCAAATGCCAGGCTTCAATCCACTTCACGGACAAGATCCCGGTCCTGCACCTCCTGGCATAGGAAATCACGTCGCGGGTTATGTTACTGGTATGTATTGTAGATCGGTGAGTAGACCCTGCGAGATGCGCGAATGAACTAATTTTCTGGGGACTAGGTTTGGCGACAATAGGTCCTCCGGTAGTGAGAGTTGCACCAATAGTAGCAGTACCTCAACCGCATACTTCGAATGCGTGTGCAAATTGTCGGAATCAAGATGCAAATCCTACTGCAGCGAATGCAACTGCCAGTCCTCCAACTCCAACTCCAGAACCAAAACCTCCCGCCACCAAACCAAAATCCATTCTCAAACCAACAATAACACCAACTCCTGCTCCCGACCCAGCATCTTCATCTTCTTCGCCTCCTTCATCTCCCACAAAGTCTAAGTCTAAACCCAAATCTAAGCTCGAACCTCCGCTTGATATACTCACTCATGCAAATACAAATAAGAATGCGAACCACAATCCGAAGTCAAAATGCTGACAATCATTGAAGAAGGATTGTCTTCCTCTTGGGAAGAGATCCAGTGAGAGTTTATTAGGGCCGTTGGGGAAGAGGGTTAAATTTCGGGACGATAGTGGGTGATAGTGAGATGGAGATATTGTCTTTCTTATCTTTTATATTAGACAACGAGTTGTTGATCGTTCGAGAGTATACTAGTCATAGAGGAGTACAGTGAGTGCTTGGTATTTGTATTGAGCTTTTTGCATAGAAGGGATAGCTTAATGCCACATATATATATATCCAATAATTCCTCCATGACTTTTTCTAACGATACTTGCCATTTTCCCTTGCCTATCTCCTCGTTGGCCACTGTTTAGAAAACTCAACTGTAAATCTCCATACCGTGCTGAAAAACGTGAAACCAAACACATTATACAATCCAACAAAAGTTGTTTTGTATTGTTCCCACATGTCAAATTAATTGAACTTTGAATATGCAGTAGAGCAATGAAAAATTGTAGGTCCGCGAGGAAAAACGCGACGAAAGCGCAGCAATTATACAAAATTCGGCAATCTCTGCCATAGACGGCTTCGAATATTTCCTATTGGTAAACGTGATATCTTGAATGCCTTTTCCGGTATTTTGCATAAGATCTACGGCCTAGCATACTACTTTGGCTTGCCATTATATAATTTCAGTCGTGCTTTATGGTGGAAGACTGTATATGGAAAATATCCTTCGCGATCCAGGTCTGCGATGGGTTGGTCTCCATATGGTCATATATTGCGAATTGAGTGTGATTTGATTGGCGTACGGAATGGTGGTACGATATTTGCAGTATCGATGCATCTTTAGCACATGGGGATATTTTCACTTCCGAGGACAGAGAAAACTCACTTATCTTGCTCTCACACAATTCTCTGGGGTCGCTGAACCATTAGTTTAAGCGCGAAGAGTAATTGCTCGGCGTTACTTGCGTGGAAATAGGGATGCTCTATGGAAAACTTCTAGAAGAGTTTGTTCCAAAGCTACATCTGAGCATGAACTAAAAATCAGCGCTGACTCGGAATGGAAGAATCTACACAATGTCCAGTATTTTGGTGTCTATTCTATACGGGAAGTTCAAATGAAGTTAGTGGTTGTATGGATAGATGACAAAGGTATTAATTAGTAAACGGGTTGCGATGGCAAAGACGTACCTGAAGACATGGGCTGAATCAAAGCCACAGTTTCATACCTGTATTCTAGAATAGATAGATATTTGAAATGTTACCATTGGTAGCACGTGGCTTACAATGTCAACCTCTGTGAGTCTGTGACTGAATCTCCAAAAATTGTACATTTGGGCCAACTGATCGGCATTATGTAACATTATGCCAATCTCCATCCCCTTCGTTGCACGACAACAGGATCACCTAACAACGCAACACCCAAAAATTCACTACTGAACTTCATCTTTGAATCCAGCCTCCTTCAACTGCTTTCAATAATGGACTTTCCACAGCTCCTACTATCATCCTCACAATATCTGCACTCAATTCCTTCTTATACACGTCTCCCTGTAACATCCCCACCCCAACGCAAACAACATTCAGACCCATCCCATCCTCTTTGGTCTTAGAATCCGCCGCTCCCTTTCTAGTCTCATAATTCGCGACTCCACTAGGTGCCTCTTCATCAATGACCTCCTTATCAGTCAAAAATTTCAACATAGCGCTCATAGTAGTCCCAGAACTAATCACGTCATCAATCAACGCTATTCTCTTCCCTTTAACCAAGGATAAAAGATTAGGATCGAGATAGACTGGTGGTCCTTGGCCTGGTTTGTCGAAGAGACATGATATCTTGGTGGTGAGTTGGTCTCCATACCAGGGTTTCTTGGAGTAACCCCATGGGATGTGACGATCTTATGGAAAACACTAGTCAGCATCTCGTTCTTCTTCGCTTCCACAATAAGAATCTAATTCACTCTGTAATTTACCGGAGACTCGGAAACACAGAGCTGAGCTAAGCATTCTCGCGACTCTTCACGTAAACGTAATGTAATAAAGGGGCGGGTAAGCGAAATACAGCATGGATGAGATTATCAACCTACCAAATCCTAATTCTTCCGCCACAAAAGGCGCCAAAACTAGTCCACCAGTCGGCAATCCCATCACAACTTCCGGGTTGAACTTCCTTATCTTACTCGCCACAATCCTGGCCAGTTCCCTCACAACCGTCATCGAAGCATGCGGTAATGCCAATGAACAAACAGCAATGCCATTCGTGGTATTGCCCAATGGTCTAATAGGAAGAAGCAAGCTTGTATCTGGAGTAAGAGATGCAGCGAAGGAGTATTGATAGGGTGGAGCTGTTGAATATGGGAGGGAATCAACGGAGGATGTGGGAATTATTTCTTGCCAGTAGGTAGTCGTGGGGCGGGTGAAATGGGCATGTGTTACAGGACCGATAGTCTCGCAGGGATAGTAGGGTATGTGATGGTTGGTCGGTTCTATGGTGTTGTTGTTAGTTGTGGTCAATGGTGCCGATGCTGTGTTTTTGGAACCTTGTGTATCCTGTCCGTCTGGCCTTGGAGCCTCAACGAAAGCGGCGTCGGTAGAAAGCAGTGATTGAACGGACATTGTCAAATAAGTCTGTAAAGTTTTCTGCGCTCTGGGAGCTTTTGATTCAGGATGGACTGTATCAGTGGGATGTTTGTCATATAAATACAGACGAAGTAGGCTTTCAAATAGATGGTCTACTGATTGAACAAACATTGTTAACACGCGTGCGGAGATTGCCTTGCGCAACGTGTGACACAAACTTAGTGAATTAGCCACGCAGGCCGTGATCATACTAGACCGACATAATGACGTACAGCGCATAAAGTGTCGCAAATTCATGTACTACTTGTTGTTGCAACCCGCAGTAAGCCAGCAGACGTTTCTCACCATCCTGCCACAATGAGTCATTAATAAGGCTCTTCATGTCTATTTCATCGAAACTGATTACTCAATCTAAGGCTTGAATAAAAGCAGACATTAATGGGCTGTGTGAAATTTAGTGAAAACATTGATGTCAGAAAGAAGAATGGGATGAGTTGGAGATTGTGATAGAAGAAATGAAAATTTATCTAGCATTTGGCACTTTGCAGCGAACACGTTAACTTTGTAGTGAGAGGAACAGAGACTATTGCTGAAACTGACTCGAAAGTTTGTTATTACCAGTATGTGTGTATAACTGAACGCATTTGTCCTCCAACGCCATCATCAATTTATGGTATATCAAATTAAGATTCGGAACAAGCAGCGCTCGTGCTCAGAAGCCTTAGACTGGCCTTAGCCAGGAGCAAGACCGTTGCTCTGATCCTCCAGTTCGACGTCCAAACATCTATTCGGAACCACGCGTTCAATATCCGTTCTATTATTAGACGTCTGCTCATGGCTATCATCTGGAGTAACATCTTTCAACTCTCCCGTATTGCGACTAAGAGATGAGACCTCCGAGCTCCATTCATATCCTTCAATGACCAGTTCCCGTTCTGATTGCCAGTCCATTTCTTCGTTACTTCCAACATTATGTGAATCGAGCTGTTTGTCCCCACCGTTACACTCGTTTTCTGGCAACCATTCCTCTATCCTATCTATATGCGACTTCAGAGATGTCAGAAGGTACTCTTTGAGGTGTTTGGATTTTGCAAGGAAATGGTGATTGGGTCGATTGAATGCGGAATATTGGTTACATCGACGGGGTAGATTGTTCCGGTACTCTGGTTTTTGATACCAATAGCGACTATCCTGGATACGGTGATGACCAAAGTGAGGATCATTGTGAGTTCGAGCTGATGCGTATTGTACATGCGAGCCTCTTCGGTTGCCACGACTATAATTTGCTTCGTCATAATGCCATTCGGTACGTCTGTTTCTATCATCACCGCGCATGTTTACATCCTGGTGGCTTTCTGATCGAATCAATATGTGTGAAATGAGATGAGAAATGGGCTAAATCGAATATTAAGAGAAATTTGTATCTTTGATGGATATCCGACGAAAGTTCTGGTAAGACCACTAGACTCTTTACTCATTAACAATTTCATTTGTTTCGAATGAGCATTGTTCTGTGGCAAAGTTGCCTGAATCAATTGTGTCAATGGTGATCATCGAACTTGAAAGTTGTTTCAGGAATTTCCAAAGAAACCGACAGAAAAGTCTATACGTTTGAGGCCGGAGTATCCAATAATTGCACACTGCTACCCAATAGCGAGAAGATTGCAATCTTCTGTTAACTTCATTTGACAAGAATAGTCGATCCTAAAAGAGTTATGACCTTCTAGACATTGAAAACTTGTATCAGGTCCGATAGTCTGAATATTCGAATCTGACTGCAACACGCTCTCGACGTATCGACACTAATCAGTTCCCAAATTTTCTCCAGTAGCTTTCCACATGAATTCTGAGACCGATCGGCGAAAAGCTCGCAGGTGTGTACAAAATTGTGTAGTAAGACATCAAGATTAGGGCAATGCTTGTCAATATGAAATAGTTCTGAATTTCATATCATAGATTCATGCCAGTTCCAATCTTTCACCAATTGTTTGACACGATAATCAGTCGCCCAGCCAAGATCGATTTCGATGTCCTTCAGCAAGTCAAGTATTACTTTTCGCTCTTTCGTTTCTGTTAAGCACTGACCTGCAATAAACAGAGGCTGCACTTGGTGAATCCTCACAGAACCTTCCGGCCTTCCCAGAGCGATGCCGCAGATTTCGTGACTATGGTGGCGAACTTCCATCTCAATAGACCGGTATGAATGGAGCCTATTTGAAACGGTTGTCCTTTTTGTAGTGGATTCGTGGGGCTTATTGGTAAGCAGGAGGATCCTCGTAAAATGATATGACTGCATTGTTGAGCCACACATTGGAATACTATACCATATCTCTGGAAATACAGTTCTCGGCGAATCTTGTGGTAGACTGCCATCTGTAATCGTTGATAAACGAGCACATGGTTTAAAGGTATCTGGTAGACCTCGATACCAAACTTCCAGCTCGTTTGCCAGCTCGTGCCATCTTTCGAGTAAAGTCATTTGATTGATACCAAAAACAGCGGTAGGACTACCTTTATCCTGAGGATAGACATTATCGATGGAATCACCGGTAGCAATAAAATTAACAATTTTCGACATGAGCCAAATCAAGGCATTTGAAATCATATCTTCACGCATAGACATCTGCAACTCTGGATATGAACTTTCCGTGTTGCTTGGGATAACAAATCCTTGATCATCTATCAGGAGTCCAGCTGCACGCCAAAGATCCCAATCTTCTGTGTTGAGTCGGGTTTGTCCTTCATTAATGACTAGTTCAAAGTTAGAGTTGTCAAAGGTGTGAGTGAGGTTTCAAATACTAACAAGCTGCCAGAAAGTCCTGGCGGGCGAAGTTCCAAAATGTAGCTCTCCTCGCAACTGAAGGCTTGGTTCTGAATGATAATGATCCTGGAGTACTAGGTGAAGGCGAATGAAGAGGCATCATGCCTTCCCTTTCCGCTAGGTCGAACAAGGATTTAGTCCCACTAAGATGTCGAGACCAAGCATGCAGAGCATTGTCGAGAAATTCGTAAACGCAGAGTATAGCGGCGGCTGCGATTGTCTCATCGGCGTCACGTTGTATCGGCTTCGATAGTCGCCGTCGCTTGTTTGATTGGGAAGGAGTACTCTGTGGTGATTCAATATTTATTGGGGAATGAAAATGACCATCGATCGTGGGTGTAATAGGAAAATCTTTTCCACCCGACTTGGAGAGCTCCTCTACTAAGAGTGAAATTGCTCTGTCGTAATATTTTGCACTAATGTAAACCCAGTCGACCTTATCCGAATTTGGATAGAGCTCCATAAGTGCTTGCTCACTGACTATGCCACCGACAATGGCCTTTCTTCCCCCAACACGCGAAAGCTGTTTGGCAGCATATGCGCATGCTGAGTATTTGAGCAAAGGATTCGATACGGCAAGAATGGGGACATGGTGTGCAAAGTAGCACCCGAGGTCGAATAAATCCATCCTAACATGATCAATTATGCTTCCGATATTGATGTAATCTCAACTCACCATTGTCCGGTAGTCTCTCCAAAATGTCTCAATAGAAACGCAACTTCATGCTCTCTCACACTATCAGCATCACTGATGAAAGTGTTCGTCCTCGAGACTGATCTCAATGAAGGATCAATAAGGGGTGAGTCTATAACAGCAATGTTAGCCGAGGATTTAGTGAATAAGAGAATCGTTATTTCCATACTCTGATGGGCTTCCGGTCGTGTAGGGTTCAATATAAAGTCGAGGTTATTGGCGGAGTGCTGGGGAGTGTTGAGACTTCTTGGTGATTGTGTGTGCACCGATAATTGAGGCATATATTCCATATTCGTAGTCGCCGCCGTGGAAAGAGCTTCCAACCCAGGTGCGTCCTCAAACTGGGGGTAAGCAGAAACGTCATTGACAGTCTCGTCTATAGTGGTTGCGGTGGGAATGTTAGATTCTGGGGATTGTTCAGGCTCAGGAGTCGCTTCCATGTTGTATGGATCGATGACATGAAAGAAGGTTACTGTCAATTGCCAAGTCAGATTCCAAATCCTTCATCTCACGACTGATCTTCATCCCAGTAGATTATAACGCACTGTTCTTTGGCACATCGACCCAAATACTGTTCTCATCAAATGTATTCCTATACGCAAAAAATGCACCTAATCGGCCACTTTTGTCGCCAGGAATAGCATCCTCACCGCCGTTCATGGAAGCATTTTGTTGGTGTCTGAATACTACTCCGTCGCTAAGTACACATTGTCTTGAAGCTTTGCGACATTGTCCACATTCTGGCTTGATTTCGTCGCACTTGAGCTTTCGTTGGCGGCATGTTTGACTGGTAGCACGAAGGCGCAGATTAGCAAATTGGCCATTGAAATGAATTCAATCGTAAGCAATGAGAGAAGATAATTACCATCCTGTACGCGACCGCATTGCTGCGGAAACAGCATTATTTCCACCCGCGATTCGGGGTAGATGATGCGATTATGATCAGGTAACAAATCCTCATATTGTATGACAGTTTGAATGTTTTTGTTTGTGTACCTAGTGATACGAAGCATTTTACTTCACGATGATTCCCCGCAGTAGTGCCAGACAAGGTTGATCTAGACTTTTCGGGGTGTCGGAAGGCCTGAAGCGGAGGTCCGAACAGCGGGGGGCAGGGGGGGGGGGGGTTTGATATTCACGTGGTATCGAACTCAACATTTAAAATCACAACCTCATAGGTTCTATTGATTGAGCAGTGGATATCAAACTCTCAACACAACAAAGTATACAAATAGACATCGGTGAGGACCTTTGATTCTCGACCGTGTTGACATGAGAGATGAGCTTGTGATGGCTAGTTCAAACCGTGAAGACTATGGCGATATTCTTGGGTTACTACAGATAGCTGTAGGTAGGAAAAGTGTTTCTAGCCATGCAAAAGAGAACACAGGTTTTATTATTATATTGTCGCTCGAATTAGTGCTCGAGTCTCATCTAGATACATTGAATAGACAAAATGATCAGGTTGTCAAACTTCACATGCGATTGTTGAGTGAATACTAGACCCCAAAGTTTGGGCCGTGCTGTTAGGTCTCCAATTCATACCTATATAATTGGACTCCCTTTCTAATTTTGAACTTCGTGTCATACATATCATTTGCAATACAGCTCAATAAAACCACGATCTCCATCCAAACTCAAACTATTATCCTATCAAACAACAATAGCAGCAAGGCATATAATCTCTGCTAGAGCAGGCAAAACTATGGATATGTCTGTGGCTCTCAAGGAGAGTCCCCCATCTCTTTTAGATCTCTCTCAGCATTGGCCAATGATGGAAAGCATTTGTTCAGGAATGAACTTTCATGATATTGTCAGCCTATCCAGAACTTCGAAACGGTTTTCAAGCTTGCCAGAAACGATTTCGAAGACTCAATTAAACATCAACTCTATTCTCAAACGCTTCGTTAAAGACCCCGAATGGCTCAGATTGAAATGGCACAAACCAATATGATTGTCGTTGGTAAAACTGTTTTTCATTTCTCAACAGGTTTATAAGATTGAAAGATGGAATGTTTGATATTGTGGGGGAAGAGGATGATGAAAAGGCCCTCAAAAAGTTTATTTGTGAAGAGTAAGGTTACAAGTACCTTGAAGACCCAAAACCCTACATACCGGACACAAGTTTGACTGGGGAGTGGCCTGCAGTGGTTAGAGATGATCGAGATCCTCCAGCCCCAAAAATGTATGAACTTACTAGGTAGTCTTATATATAGAGTAAGGAGCCCACAGCTTATAGATATTTGCCATCATGTACTAACAGAATTTCGCTATAGACCTGGTATTATATCAGACGCGATGATTAATCTTCATCTAGCCACACGCTCATTCGTGTTACTCACGCAGCGATACCACCTATTTTAGCAGCTCTACTGTGCTTTCCGGATGCCTCGTCGGCAAACTATATTACATGTCACAAAGCATACTCAATATTTCCTAACTCAGTGCTTAGGCACAAAGCATTATGGTTGTATGGACCTCATCCTGGTCATGATCAGATGATGCCTAAATATGTTAAAAATGGATGGAAGCTGAGTACGCCTTCACCTCTAGAATACAGCCGAACCTCCTCAGAAACAAACACGGCGAATGAAAAGCGGCACTACCAACATTTCATACCAGATACCTTCCGATGGATTGGCGACAAGCACACTTGGACGATAGAACATCCAGAACTACCACCTAGTCTTCCCCTGGACACAACTAGAACCCCAAAAATCCCAGGTATAGCTACAGAACTATCCTTTTTACCATCACTACAAACTTCTGTCAATCTTATTATGATCTCAATGGCCCTGCATTTTACGACACAACAAGTCT